CTTTTTTTTTTGGTCTTTTTGAGACAGAGTCTTACACTCAGTTCAGGCTGGTCTTGAACTTACTTTATAGCCCAGGCTGGTCTCAGACTCACAGTGAGCCTCCTGAGTGCTGGTATCAGGCATGTACCACTATGCCCGGCTGTCATTTGTCCTAGTTATAAGTAAATTCTGTTTGTTCTAAACATTTTACTAGTTTAACATTTAGCAGAGGTGGGCCGCCTGCCTAGGCAAACTCCTAGGAGTCCTATCTCCTTGTGGTGTCATTAGCTTCTTCCCTAAGCAAGGGTTTCTCTGTTTTAATGGGAGCCCTTCCTAGGAGGGCAGACACTGCTGGCTGGTAGGTGATGCTCTGCTGTCCCACCCGTTGGTGCTGCTCAGCGTCAGGTGGAGTTGCACCTGTGCCAGGGTGGCCTTCCCCTGTGAGCAGCCTCTGTGCTCAGGCGGAGGAAGGAAGTAGGCGCAGAGGCCATGGTCCCAGCTCAGGGTGGCCACAAGGGAGCTAGCCACTCCTGTTTGGGCCCAGCTGTGTGCCACTGGGAGGCTCTGGTCCTTGGGTCTGCACCAGTTCTGCTCTGAGTGTTTTTGGCATATGCCTTTGGTCTTTTGGTGTTTGGGTGAGGTAGCTCCCACTCTGCTGGGGCCTGCTGGTATTTGTGCAGCAGACATTTGCCTCCTTCATCAGGCAACAGCCTGCCACAGCCTCCCTGTCTGGAGGGAAAGACAGACCCGGCTGGCGAGCCCAAAGCCTTTGGGAAGAGGGAGTTAAGTTCAGGGCCAGAACCAGGTTGCCTGGGTGCCTGTTGGGTGGTGCAGAGGGACGGTGGTGACCATGTCCTCTGGTGACTTTAGGCAGGCACTAGTCGACCATTATAGCAAGTTGTCTGCAGAGGCAGCGCGTCGGGAGCAGAAGGCCTTGTGGAAAGTCCAGAGGCAGCGGCTGGAAAGTGCGAGACTTCGTTTCCTTCTGGAAGAAGAGAAGCGCCTTCAGGTACCTCAGGATATCAGCTCCCTGCCCCTGCACAGAGGCCTAGTTCTCCTGTGGTGGACACTGTTGCCATATCTGGCTGTGCAGAGGCAGGGTGTGGGGCTGGTACTTCCTGCACTCTGTGTGGTAGTAGGGATGCTGTGCGGAGCCACGAGTGCTGGGGTCAGTACTGCAGGCACTCCTGAGGCTGTCCCCTCATCCTGCTGGCTGTGTTTCAGGGCATGCTGAGAGACAAGTCTGAGGCTCGCCGGTCACAGGAGCCACTGGACATCCTCCCGCTTGCATGCTCCAAGGTGTGGACCTGGCACAGGACCTGGGGTTCCCCACTGGGGCTCTGAGTTGGGTGTACCTCGCTTGGTTGTCCCCATGTCCTGTAGCACATGGTGGGTGCAGTCACAGCTGCGGGGCACGTGGCCAGAGGGAAAGGAGAGCAGACTGGGTCCCGTGTGCCCTTCCATTTCAGGTCCTGCCTGAAAGCCTGGAGCACTCAGATGGAGGCCAGAGCTATGATGCAGAGCCCCCCGAGAAGCCTGGGGATTGCCTGGGCAGGTCGGATGCACCGGGACCGCAGGCCCTGCAGCCTCCGGCAGACGGGAGCGGGCTGTTTTCTGCCGGCCTCAGCATTGTGGACTTCCTGCCTGCGGCCTCAGGGGCTGAGGAGGCTGTGCAGGATTGCCCGCCTCTGCTCGATCAGGCACTGCGGACCATCTGCTCAGACCTGCTGTCCTCATCCATGGTAGAGGCACCCTCAGCAGAGGGGCCGGTGCCTGCCCAGCCACAGGAATATGATTTCAGTACCGTTCTGAGGCCAGCTGCAACTGCCACACTTTCACCAGAGCCTCTGAATGCTGCTAATAAGGGCAGTGAGGAGCAGCAGCTGTGGGTGGACACGTGTGGGAGATCAGAAGAGTGTGCACCAGACACACACAGGCCTCCCCCGCTGCCAGGCCTGCCCCTGCACGGTGCTGCCCAGGAGGCCAGCAGTCAGCTCTCCGAGTGGTCCCTTGTGCCCACTTCAGGGGCAGCCACTTGGACCATGGGCTGTGCTTCTGGAATGGCTGCCTCCCATCCACACTGGAATGTCCACAGTAATGTGTCAGAGGATATCATTCAGGTCAGGGACAATGTGTCAGCTGTGGCCACCTCTCAGCCACGCTGGAACATCCATAGTCACATGTCTGATGACAGCATCCGGGTCAGAGAGAATGTGTCCGATGTGGCTACCTCCCGGCCACGCTGGAACATCCACGGCCACGTGTCTGATGCCAGCATCCGGGTTGGAGAGAACGTGTCCGATGTGGCCACCTCCCGGCCACGTTGGAATATCCATGGCCACGTGTCTGATGCCAATATCCGGGTTGGAGAGAATGTGTCTGATGTGGCCACTTCCCGGCCACGTTGGAACATCCACGGCCACGTGTCTGATGCCAGCATCCGGGTTGGAGAGAATGCGTCCAATGTGGCCACCTCCCGGCCACGCTGGAACATCCACGGCCATATGTCGGACTCTAGTATCCAAATTGGGGCAGATGTGTTGAATCTGGCTTCCTCCCGGCCTTGCTGGGATGGCCATACCACTCAGCCTTTGTCCTTGGAAGCTGAGTCCAATGTCCCCTGGCTACCTTGCAGCCTCCCTGGCCAGGGGTCCCAGCCAGGCATCCCGAAGCCAAAGAGCACTGCCTTAGAATGTGGGCCACTACTGTCTACAGAAGTGGAGCCAGCCACCTGCACCCTGGGAGCAGGCAGTTGGGAAGAGGGGGCCCTCCAGGCCTCACTCTCTGCTGCAGCTAAGCTAGGCCCTGAGGGAGACGGGGTCTTCCAGCAGCCAGGTAAGACGGCATCGAGGGTGGAGAGCACATGAAGCTGCCTGTGGATGCCTTGTCCTTGGGGCCCATGTCCTGCTGGCCCTGGGCTGTAACCTCTGTGCCCTTCCTGCTTGTGTCTTCTCAGGCCCAGAGAAAAATGAAGACACTGTGGATCTTTCTCCACCCCAGCCTCTGGACCCACAGGTCTGGGTGGACATGGTCTGGGGGGTCACGTGGGGTCCCATGGGACGTGGAGGTTCTGCATGTGAGCAGTGTGTTAAGGTCAGCTTCTTTAGGGAGACACAAGCCCCCAAGAGCAGCCTGGCCCTGGGGAGGAGGAGGCGGAGGCAGAGGCTCAGTCCTGGCGCCGGGGTGAGGAGCAGGCCTACCTGGCTGGCCTAGCGCGGCTGTACCCCCTGGAGCAGTACCCGGACAGCTACGAGGCCATGTGTGAGTACAGTGCGACAGGAGGGTGCCCCAGGCCAGCGCCTTCCCCAGCCAGTGACTGTGTTGTCACAGCAGAGCCTCCTGTCACACACCTCCTGCACCACGTGCTGCCCCGGGCCTTCACCTTCCCCGTGGACTGCTGGGCCCAGCCGGCTGTGGAGGAGACTGCAGTACAGCTGAGCGAGCTGCTGACGCTGCCTGTGCTCATGAAGCGCTCCCTC